CAAAGAAAAAAAAAATGATTTTCACTTCAATTTTAAACTTCACGTCACAGTTAAATGAGCAAATTTGTTAATTTTAATAATTAAACGAAAAAATGTAAGTTTCATTCTGCTAACAGAATTAAATTTACTTTTTTAGGCAGTAAGTGTTACTTAATATTCTCTCCAGACAGCAGTCTTACTTTGAAATACTCAATTTTTCCATGGTATTCATAAATTCATTAATATATTTTTTACTTTTTTCATATCAAACTATCCTATTTTAATTTGAAAAAACAAATAGTTTAAAAAATTTAATATCAAATTTTTAAACAGACTTACTCTTTTATATCTTCGTGAAATACCATGAATCTAAAGTTTTGCAAAATTTCATTCGATCAAATTCCAAAATAGATAGTGGAATTTGATCGAATGAAATTTTTATGATTTATAATTTTTTTAAGTTTACGTTTTATCGATACCTCAAATTCGTTGTTTTCAATACAACTGCCTTCCCCCTCTTTCTCAGTAATTGTTTATCAAATAGACTTACTTTACTTCAGATAACAAATTACTTCCGATTTAATATCCAGGAATTTAAAAATATAAAAATTTTAGCATACTGGAAATTAGAAAAAAAATTTTTTAAATCAGGATCTTGAAGTTATCAGTGAAAGTAATTAATTCTTAATTCATCGTTTTTATTCCCTCTTTTCCAATCATTTCAATTTTTTTATTTAGTTGAAACAAATTGGAAAGAACTTTCTTTCATTATTGGATCTTTCATCATACTGTAAATCCACTAGCCAAAAAATTTAAAAGCAGTCGTACTTTACAAATTTTTTCTGATTTTAAACGATTAAGTATATTTTCGAAATCTTGAAAAGCTTTTCATTGCTTTATCATTTTAAAAATATGTGCATTAATCATTCTGCTATGAGTATCCTTGTTCAAGTAACACTTTGACTCTTAGAAATTCCTGTGATACTTATACAATGCTCATTTTCCAAAATCTTACAAATTATTCATAAAGCCAATTCTACTTTCTTTTTTTTTCTTTTATCCATTATATAATATGCAGTAACTTTTTTTAAAGTATAAAGTTGGTAGAACCTCCTAAATTTTACAGCAACCAACAAATAGTACAAAATAAATTTGTATTTATTATTTGTTTGCCTACAGGAAACTGTTCAAAAATTTAATTCAATTAAGAAATAAAAAATTCAAATTTAAAATTAAGATGCGAGAAATTATTTTACAGTAATTAATTAGTAATTCGCAGTTTGAAAGTTAAAAAAATATCTTTTCGGAATTATTGATTTGATTTTGCCATTTATACATGCTAGTACAAAAAAAAATCATCTTTGACCTATTCATTTAGGACTTAACTTCCTTAGGTGTATAACCTATCGTATTATATTTTTAATGGGACTATTCTGATAACACTTTTTTATTATTATTAAAAACTATTCCGATTATAGTCCATTCTATTAATTGAAAAAGTTTTCAAGCTCAGTGAAAGGTAAAATCAATCCAATGCTGCTTTTTCTCGATTTATGCATTTCCAAAAGATTACAAATAAGAATTTTAATATGGAACAGACGAAAATGCATGTCATTTATAACCGTAAAGAAAATAACTTGTCAGTAAAGTGAGCTTTTTTGAAAAAATGAAGTTGATTTTTGCCAATTCAAAAAATTCAAAGTTTATTCCTATCAAAAAAATTTCGTGCTATAATTTTCATATTGTTTTTTAAAAGTTTGCTAAGTTTTGTTACAACTTTGTCTTTCTTTATTTTTTTAAAAATTTCAAATATAATTTAACTTTATCCGCATATCCAATTTCTACATTCCCTAATGATGAAGTACGCATCATTACCGCTTCGTTTCACAGTTTGTTGTCAAATTTTTGAAAACATTTTATTTTAATTTCATCCCATCAAAATTTACTTATCTGCTACGGTACTAATATTTTCTTATCAGACTTTATCGGTTTAAAGAATGTTTTGGATATTTTTACTTAACTTTTTCGATATGCATTCAAACGATCATATTAACAAAATTGTAAGTATTGGATTTCACTATAGCTTACTTCCATAAACAATTTCTGATATTTATTAAAAAGATGAGATTACAGATGAAAAGAATAATGATAAAATCAAAAAAAAAAGCATTGATAAATTATTATATAAAATTATTATCATTTAATAGAAAAATCATCATGATTTTCATTTTGGAAGATAATCTTCAAATATTGAGCTCTGTTACTCCTTCCTTGACCTTAACAATATTTACCATAAACTATTCTCGAATAATAGTCACTATCGATTACAGAACTGAAAGAAATATTTCTCCTGTACGACGAGGAATTGGACGGTAAGATTGACGGTACTCAGATCGGTGATGTTGTACGAGCTGCGGGTCTCAAACCAACCAATGCTATGGTGGTTAAAGCAAGCGGAAGTGAATACAAACGAAAGGGTGAAAAACGTATAACTTTCGAGGAATGGATGCCAATTTATGAGCAATTGAGCAAGGAAAAGGTTTCTGTAATCGTTTCTCAAGTTTTCGTATCCGAAATTATTTGTAAGCAATCACTGATAAATTTCTTTATCGGAAGTTATTAAATTTTAATAGATTAATTATTGATAAAAATCATTTATTAAATTGAATCTTAGAGATTAAAATCGATAATGGGTATATTTGCATGAAATTTTCAGGAACAGGGAACGTTCCAGGATTTTGTCGAAGGATTGAAAGTTTTTGACAAGGAGGAATCAGGAAAGGTAGTTCTGCTATCTTTATTATTTTCGATCAAATATTAATTGCAGTGTTACAGAGAAGGAAAATTTTCCAAAAGTTCCTTTAATAACAGACTTTTAAATTACTAAATAAGTTAATGGAAGAATAATAATTAGACTTTTCCAATTCTATATATTTCATTATCGGCGGTAAATTTAGCGGATCAAATTGACAATTTATAAAAATCAACAGAGTTTATTTCGTGCATTCAAAAAAAAAACGTTTAAAAAAGTTATAATTGAAAAAGAATGATTGATAATTCGTCTACTGTTATTGTTTCAGATTTTGGCAGCAGAATTAAGGCATGTCTTGATGGCTTTAGGTGAGCGGTTGTCAGGTGAAGAAGCGGACGAAATAATGAAAGGCATGGAAGATGGGGAAGGAATGGTGTCTTATGAAGGTGATAATATTAAATGTAACTGATTAATCACTGATCATATTAGAATACAATATTCATTGATATTCATTTCAGCATTCGTCAAGAAAGTCCTGGCTGGACCGTTTCCGGATGAATGAACGAGTGATGGCAGTGAAGAGAACATAGCATTGCTATATTTCACTCCAATCATAGCAAACACAAAGAAAATTTATTTTTTTTTTCCTTCTCTTTAGTCCACTTCACTCATACGCTAATTCTCATTAAAAAAAAATTTCAACTAAAATTAGCTTAATTTTATCAATTTGTATTTCATTGATTTGAACTAAAAAGAGCCATTGCAACAAACAGAACGAAATTGAAAATTAGAAACTAAATTTGGAAAAAAAAAAAAACCTTTTTAATCAGTTGGTCATTTTTTTACAATTTTTTTCATAAGAAATTTTAAATTAATGAATATAATTTGCCAATTTTTAGAACTTTCTCCTCTTCAACTCTATCATTTTTTAATATGTTCCGTTAATATCTCTAATTTTTTATAAATTACGCTTAATTTAACTGTCTCCTTGTAACGTATGAATATTCAACAAATAGCAAATAAAAACTTCATGCAGTCATTATAAACACACACACAAATACACAGCATTTTGGGCACATTGCCATCAGCAAATTGTTTTGATGGTTTTTTTTGTTGTTCAATAAAATTTCCATATAAGCATCTAAAAAATTGGAATATTAATGTGAGTTAACAAATGTGACAAATATGCGACATAATATTTTCCCATATTTATATACCAATTCCCGTCCACACATCTAACATCCTACAATTACACTATTTGTGATATAAAAATGAAATGAAATGTATGTATCACTATCTATTTCATTTTTATATTGCATCGAGAGAAAATCAGAACATGGGAAAAACTAAATAGTACGATCAGTGTAGCAAATCTATTTCAAAATCATTATGTAAGTTTATCAATACTCGAAGCGCTTTATTTGATAATACGACATTCAAGCATTTCATAAATATGATAAGGGGAATAATTCGAACAAAGTAACTGAATCTCTCATGATTCAATTGCCTGTTTTCTTTCAGACTGATTTTTAAATTGCTTCAAATAGATTTATTTTATTAGTTAGCTTGAAATATGATGAAGACACAAGTAAAACATTGAGCTATTCTGCTATGCGATAATTTAATGATTTACTAAAGGATTAATTATGAAAAGGTAAATGTTTGCTCAGAAGCTAAGAGCACATTATGAATAAAGAGCGAAAGATATTCTCATCGTTGTTGGAAAATTGTGAAATGATTCTTGGATCGGACAAAAGAAATTATAATTAGAAAGTAAACTCGACAGAATTACCCACAACTCATTGATATTTGCCTAAAAACAAAATCAACATCAATAGTAAACACTTGTTTTTGGTAAACCAAGAAATTAAGCATAAAACCTTACTGTAGAATTCTCATTCTTCTTCTTCATAAAGTCACGTTTTCGCTTCGAAGCTAGTTTGACTAATTTAAACTAGAGCTTTTTGTCCCACAGGTTTCAACACTGATGGGTTTTATATTCTTCCAAAAAATCCCTCTAGTAATCAGAAAAATTATGCAATAGGATCGTTCTACGAAATATGAGAGCAGTCAAGCATTTTTATTTTTGCAACTCAGGCATTTTCTGATTGCCATTATTGAATCTTTCGTCATACGAGCAATTCATATAAATGTTTTATTCAGCAATAATAGAAATTCGAATTTTATACTAGCATACAATCAAATCAATAAAGCAAAATTAATCAATAACCTAGAGAATATCTACCAGCAAACAAAAATCAGATATCCATTAAGATCGTGCACTGCACCGCAAAGCTGTTGCAACGATCTGCTCCTTACTTTTCTCTTTCAGTGCTTCAGTTTCAGCTGCCTTTTTTGCACTTCGCGATCGAATAAGCAAGAATAGCAATAGATACGTGTACAATCTAGCGCGACCACGGTTTACATAACCTGAAGAAATTACACATGAAACATTTCACGAATCTAAATTAAAAATGGAGCCCAGTATTTTGTACTGTCTATAAAGAAAATCATTCCTCAGGTATGCGAGAAATCATGCGATATAAAACTATCCAGCATGCATATGTCCTGACAAAATCAAATCGATTCGTTTCTTAGTACTACGTAGGATTTTAGAAGCACCATTTAGTTGATGTATCAGTTGTCTCTATGAATACAACTATATGATCACTTGTGCTTACATAAAATGCATTTTCTGCAATTTGTTTGGAAAGGATGGGTAAAGTAAACAGAGTACTTCTCAGCATTGTCGAAAAATTTCAGAAAACGCTTTACTATGTGTTAAAAGGAAAATTTCACGTGAAATACGACATGGGGCTTAATCAATAACTACCAACCCGAAAATGATCAAATCGAATCGCATTGAAATCAACCCAAAATATGCTCTTTGGCTCAGTTAGTGAATAAATAACCATAATTTCTTTGCTCATTCTCCTTTCACGCTTTATTCGCTGTCCCCTTTTTTTCGAATTTGGCTTAGAACGGAATCTATCAGTCAACGATAATGTAACAAAAATAAAAGTGAAAGTTAATTTTAGCAAGTTCTACAACAACAATTGCTTCTTGGTTTTAATAATACATATAGTAAGCTTTCATGAATAAAACTAAAGCATTTTACCCAGCACTTCTTGTAATCTTAAGAATTAGCATAAGAATTCGAAAAAAGTTAACAAGTTAACACTTATTAACATTTCCCAAATGAGCCAACCTACTATCTCAACAATTCAAAAACGCCCTTTCACAGTGTATTGTAAATACGATCATATGAATCACATGATTGACATGTTGCTTGTAATAGTTACAGTGCTTCTCCAACAAACACGAAACTTACATGATTCTTCTTTGAGCCAAAATCTTCCTTCCCACCACTTGTACATTGGTCGTAAAATTATGTTAGTCTTCATTGTATGTACTACCTGACCATAGAAATAGGCCATCTGTTTGACAATCTGCTTCATTATTGTTAACCCTTGCTTTGCAACAACTGCTGCTTGGGCCATTTTCACTGAAAATTACGCGATTTAATTGAAATTGAAACTTCTAGCTTAATCTTAGCTGCTATCTTCAAGCAACTCGCTATTTTATAACCAATAAAAAACAAATATCCTTCATAGTCTTAGCATTACACACGAGCAACTTGATTTCCGAATTATTTAGACGAATAAAATGTAATTAATGCGATAAATTTATATTGGTGAGCAGTATTTTTAACAACAAAAGTTGAAAAAATCATCCAGAAGAGAGAATTCGGAAGAGAGGTAATGTGTGATAGGGTCATTCGGAAGGGAGGTGATATGTGATAGGGTCATCCGAAAGAGAAGTGATAAGTGATAAAATCATCCGGGAGAGAAGTGATAAGTGACAGAGTCGTCCGGAAGTGAGGTGATATGTTATAGGTTTACCCGGAAGAGACTCGGAACAGAGGTGATATGTTATAGGTTTACCCGGAAGCGTACGCTTGAGCAACAAGAACACGCAACAACCCAACGCAAGCAGAGGACGATTTGAGCTGTAACAGTGGAGAGATTCTTGAGATTTCCCTCGGCTCCTTTCCACCAATTCAAATTTCGAATTTCCTTCTATTGCGTAAGTTTTCCTTACGTTTAGGATATGACTGCTTGATTAGGCGTAATGCTGCAATTGAGTTAGGACCTTGTTAATTTCAGCCTTTCTGAGGCTTCTTAGATTGGTATTGATTGGAAATACTGTTGGTAACAGTTAAAACAACCCTCAATATTTCTAATCAATACCAGTCTAAGAAGCTTTTTTTTTATTAAATTCATTAATATAGGAGTAAAAGGTTTTACAAAAGCATTAGAAAGCAATGAGTAATTCTAATCAAACCTAATTGAATTTTCTCTTGTTTTGTTTTCAATTCCGTAGCAATATTTTATTGTGCTATGGTCTACTCTACAACACTGTATAATATTACTTATGTCTTATGCCCTGTCGTTGTATGATTTACTGTACATGAATTTACTTGAGAGAAATTGGCTGAATGAATGACTAAGTAATACTTTAATGTCACTGTCGAGAAGAAATGAATTGTAATTGATTGGGAAGAAAAATTAGAGCCAATTAACAGCGTTCAGTTAGCATTTAAGAATGTCAGTGTTTCCTCTGATTCATCATTTGTGCTTCCAGTTCTCACTATCTCTGCACATTTATTAATTTAATAACATTATTGAGATCGCTTATATTTAGATGTATTATATCGTTATGTTTATTATTGATACTTGGCATCCTACTTAAAGATCTATACACAATACAAGACTACACAAATAAGTAATAGAGAAACTAATTTTAAATTTCAGGACTGAGTTGCAAAAGGGTCCAAGTTTAGTTGAATGAATTTAACTTTCAGCATTTTAAAATTCTTATTTTAAAAACTGAACTAAAGACTGTAAAATTTACGGAATATGCGGATATAAAACCGTCTATTGTATCGTTTCGCATTCACTTTATCGAAATTACTCTCGATATTTTCAGGATGGTTCGAGAAGATAAACCTCAGTTAGATTCCACGAAAAGAGAATTATTGTTACATATGAAAAATCATATAGTTGGAACGATGTGCGCAAGAAGAGAAGTTATATTTCTGTGAAATTACCAAAAAAGAATATTTCTTATAAACTTTAGGACTTAAGATTCGAATTATCAGACATTTCTATCGTGTAGTTTAATTACGAAATGAATTTAACATACCGAATTACTACTTCACATTAAAATATAACTACATATTGATTTGAAAACTGAATTCACTAATTATATCGAAATTATCTTATAAGATTGCTAACAATTGTAAGACTTGTGTTAGTACTCCATTATATTTTTGACTGCAAAAGCATAAATTTCTCGGCACTTTAAATTCAACAGGTTACTGAAGTGTATTATGTGAAGTTCATAATGTGTTAACTAAGAATTTATTTTAAGATTTATAACGCAATGAAAGAGTTATTTCATACCAGTACTGCCGATTTTTACAATCTTTCTTCAACCGTGAAACACGTAAAGATAATTCGGTTGCTTATAACGTGCTTGGAAAAATATAAACCTCATCAACATTTGCAAGTATGTAAGTTACAAACAATAAATTATAAAAAATTAAATTATGAAAGATATTAGAGGAGATTGATGTTTTCTGTTTTGTAAGAATGTTACTCGATATGGAGCAGCCGTGGTATAAGGCGGTTATGATCCATGCTCATGTTCTTAGATGCATAACTGTAATTAATTTGTCTTGCTTTGGAAAATTTTACTCAATATCTATGTCGTGTTTCTTGTCAAATTTTGAAATAGAAGTCGTTGCTTCTTGCTGAATGTTACTTTCTTGATGACTATGTAATTACTTTAAACTATAGTTTTTTGAGTTTCAAGGATGCCTTCTGTGTATGGAATTCACGTTTAGCTCCTATAGTACTTTCGCTTTCTGACCCGGTGGAACGGCGGAAATACAGCAGACATGCAAAATTACTTGCTGCTTGCTTATTTGATTCCGATGAGGCTTGTTTTTTTACTTTTTGAATTTGAGAAATTTTTCTTTTGATGGAAAAATAAAATTTATATATTCAATATGCATAATTGCTGCAAAGTTTGCTTATGCAATGAGTTTTAGTGATTATTCGATTTGTAGCTTTATCAGCACTAATTTAAAGTTTTTTTTTTCATGTTGGTAAAATTGAAAACATATTAGGTACTTATAAAGTTTCCAGAAGATCACTTCGGCTCGTTCCTAATTGTATTATGCATCTCAGAAAGATTGTTTTCAGTATACAAAAGCCATTATTTGCTTGGGACATGTCGTGCGATTACATGGTGGCGACGTTCATTTAAGATTATTGCTCACATACTGGCTATGCCATCTGGGGTATTGGTCATTAGCCAAAACTCAGGTGCTTCATGAAGAGGAAGTGAAGCGGATATATTCTATTCACAAAGAAATTGTTAATGAAGTTGTTAATGATATCATTCACTTACATACAGGAAAAACAATGGTATGATTATGCGCTTCTGTTTATTTGAAGTTAAATTAATTGTATTGAAACTTTATGGAGGAAAGACTTATTGGAATTATTTGTTTAATTATTTGCAAGTAAATTCAATTAAAAAATGCAAGATTTTGAATAATAGGCAGCTTTAATAATTAAATCCATTTCATCTAGGACCGCCACTCTGGCGATGCATTGCCAACGTATGAACATATTATTGAGACTATGCAGTATTTCGAATCTGTTCTTGCGAAATCGAAGGCAAAAACCTTCCAACAATACGAAGCACAAATTCTTATTAAACAGGTTTTGATAGCTGTTAATCATTCCTCATACGCTGATTTAACACTGGTAAGTGAAATCTTTTTGAATTTTGTAAATGGTGTTCAAGCACAACTGACAAGATAATCAGATATTTGTTAGTTAAAAAATATGTGACAAGTAGTTTTAGAATATATTATAAACATGCAAAATTCTACTCAGGTCATGAGAAATCTTCACCATAATTGTTTCTGCTGATTGATTGCAAACTACAGATAGCCAAGAACAACATTTATAAAAAAAATTTTGGGTGGTAATTTCAAGCTGTTCTATTTTTTGCTGTTACTAGTTCGACTGTATTTCACTGAAATTTTCTGTATCTGCAATGATTTGAATAGTATAACTTGTTTAAAAAAGACAAAATTTTGACTATTAAGTTATAAATCTTCATAACAATAAAATTACTCATTCTTCATTGATGCTCTTTCATGTGCTTCACCAGAAGAAATGATTTTTTGAAGCTGATAAGCTTTGTTATAGATTGGCGATCCATTACAAAATATGGATTTCATAAAAGCTCGTTATGAAACGTTAGTGAAATGTCGAAGTAGCGTATATTATGGTGAGGATATGAAAGAAGAAGATGCCGCTTGCGCAGCATTTGCTGGTGGTGAATTTGAAGAAACGAAAATTGATGAGTACTGTAAGTGTGGAAAACTTCAGTATCATTTAATTGAAATAGTGAGCTTAAGAGTAGCTGTTTTTTTGAGACAGGAAAGAGAAGCAGGACAGTTTCTGATCAATAATTTATATTATTAATCGCGAGATTTAGAAGTAATTTCTGGTTGAAAGATTGTCTAATTTTAAATCATTTGTGAGATAGTGCAGTATTCTGGAGATAAATATTTATTTTTTAGTGAAATTAAGTGCAGTCCTGGCAGAGCATTTCAAAGTGGTACTGCAGCTGTGTTTTAAATATGTTGAGTTAGGAATCCTTCGAGAGAGTGAAAGTGAAGGGTTGAAGCTACTGCAGCAGGTTCTAAAAACGACAAATTTGCAAAGGTTTGCAAAAAATTGCAAATGTTAGCGTAGTAATTGTTTTAATAAGTATATGCAAATTAAAATTGTTGAATCTTTAATTATACTTTTTCAAATTCTGGTGAATCTTGGTTTCTGATAGGCTTATACCATCATTTATAACTATTGTTTAACTTTTAATTAGATGTTTGGCAGTGTTGAACGTTTTATTTCTAACATCGACACTTGCTCGCGAGAATAGTGTGAATATTCGCCCAGATCCATTTCGACCACTTATTGCTTCTCTGTGGAGTGTAAGTTCTGCTTTTTAAATTCGGTTGTTTTAATCCAGGTTTTTTATGAATCTCTGGTCTTTTAGAAAATACTATTTGCGTGAGCATCGTCCTTATCAATGGTAGTTTTGTCAATAATTATTATTTCTTAAGATATCGAAAAACGAAATTTCTGTTTGTGCAGAAAGACACAACAAGGAACTAAATTATTCTTCTAGAAGTCAAGAAATAACTAATTTAACTGAAGATGGACCAAACAGGTAAGTTGTAGTTTTTAACATTTTTTGTTGCTAATCGTAATTGGCACAAAGTTATTTTTAATCTCGATTTTTAATTAATCAGTGATTATAATCCTATAATAGAATTCAGTTCAAAAATATTCATTTTAAAATTTTAGTTTACCAGAAGAAAATAAAGAAAATATTGAAAATAAATTAACATTGGACGAGCATGCTGAATTTTGCGATTGCGTAATCTGCAAACTTTGTAACATGAATTCACAGATGCACGTAGAAGCTATTTTTTCAAGGATGTTATTTTATCGATATTCATCAAGAATGTTTCGCATGCTTTCCGAAAGGTAATCTTTCATATTTTCATTCAAATTTTATTGAATTGACTTTGTTAGCTGATCATTGTAGACTACGTTCATCGATTCTTGTTAAAGTCATCAGTTACTGCACATATAAACAACTTGAAATGATTTGCGAAATATGCACATTATAGGATTTTGAAACTGTCTCAGGAAACTTCATTAGATGTAATTGCGATTTGTTCGGCACTTCAGAAGGAAGCAACGGAAAAAGTGATTTTTCATGTTTATTGGATTTTTCGTCAAGGTTTACTTTTTCACACTCTTTAAAATTTAGTCTTGACGATTGGATATATTTCAGGAAATTGAAGAACGAAGATATCCATTGGAAGCATTGGATCGTTTTCTGCTCGCAGCAATTCGATGGCTCCGAAAAGTTGGTGAAGAAGAAAACCCGGAAATTGTACAGGATGTAATAAAAGAATCGTTGAAAGTGTGTTTATAAATTTTTTATATAGGATATGTTGGTGATAGTCGGTGATGAATTTCTGGAGCACAAATCTTTTTGGATTTTCAGTTTTTTTTTTGTATTTGAAATATACGACTATAGAAATTTGTAGATATGCTTAACGGATCCCATATACTTTCGTTCTCAATGGTTAACAATACGGCAGTTAGCGCGTGCGCCTTTGAAAATTCCAAAGTTGGAATGGATGCATTTGCATGTGAAAACAGGGTTACGTTCCCCACTGAAATCTCTTGTCATCAATCTTGCATCAGAACTGAATGCATTGTACGTGAGGAATTTCCTTAACCCGTAATGTGAAATAACGTAATAGTAGAAGTAGTGCTCATTTCTCTATACGCCATCTGGTGACTGCTAAAAAATAAGTTCAAATCTATGCAGTTTCTTAATGCTCAGGCTAGGTATTAGTTCAGTTTTGAGACATTTCGACATTGTGGTTTATTTTATCTTACTATCAAAGCACCCATTTTTTCAGAACACTTTGCTCACCAAGACCATCTTCAGTTTTGAACTCTGAGAAATATACACCGATCTCAAAAGCAAATCACAAGACTACTACTAACGTCTCTCGCAGTTGTGTAGACATGGAAATGGAAGAAGCTCGAAAAGATTTTGATTCCTTTTCCCATCTTTTCTATAGGTTTAAATTCCTTGTTGTTGACTATTTTTCACGAAGATAAAGAAAATTTTCTTTATTTCATAGTTGCAATTGCGATGTGCATTGAATGTATAAGTTAATTTTTCCGTTGTTTTCTAAAACTTCATGCAACTCCTAGCTCGAAATTTGAATTTTAGGGAGTGGCGATTCCAAATTTGTTCTTATTTGGGACAAGTCTGCGCTTTCAAATATAAAGCTGACTGGATTAAGCCAGATTGGAGTGCCGCTTATTATTTTAATGAAGCAATGTTTATGAGTACTCGTCAATTGGCCCGCATGATTTCGAAAAAATCAGAGAAGAGCCAAAATTTTCATTTTGAAAACATCGAAAAGTTTAAAGAGGCTGTTCAACGTTTACCGCCTGGTTGGTTTTAAAGTTTCCTTTGCATTTGAATATAATGATTCTAGGAAATCTACGAATTATTTAATGACTATAACTTTCGGTACAAACTCGTTTTCAACCAGATCATTTAATTAATTGGCGTCACTTATTAACCATGTTATCTTTTGCTTGATGAAAAATCATGCCTCCTACATGCAAAATTTTATTTAATCTCATTAGCATGAAAGATGATAAAATTTGTCGAATCAACAATATTCATGATTTTCATGAATTCAATAGCGCTGTTTTTTAATATTTTCCATATTCACAATACAAATTCCAAAAAAAGCTTACGAATTATTTACTATTTTTTAACCATTGAATTTTCAGACTTGACGGTGGTGCAACTTTTTCTGGATTCTAGACGAATACTTTGGTTAATCAAATTATACAATGACCGTTCACCATTGGTTGTACCTGTTGCATTCGTTCCACAGGTGGTGATTGATCACTTAATAGTTGTTGATAATTACAGCTGTAACGGAGGTATTTGACCTGTCCCATAAGATAGTTTAACATCTCTGCTCTACTAATTGATTGTGTTGGAGTCGCGGCTGTTGATTTTCAAATAAATAAATTTTGGAATTTTGAAAAAAGAATGATAAACGCAAGTGAAAAATCAGGTGAAATTAAGAAAGATTAAAAAATATAGGGTTGTTTTGTTTGCCTCTTTCTAACAAATACAGAAAAATTGCTTTCAGGATGACATGCTTCTGAAACGTTTCTTAAGCTTGTTGGCAGAAAATGACGCGTCAGGAAATCTTAGTAAAACATGCACAGATCCAAAAGAATATTGGCGGATAAGAAGAAAGTTGGACAAAAAACTGAAGGTTGAATTTTTCTTCGAAAAGCTATGTTCTTGGTATGAGAATTGAGGGACGGTGTAACCTGAACAAAAAAGAAATCTTTTCTTTAACGTGCGATACCTTATTTTTAATGTTTTTTTTAGATGAATAGAAAGCTAAAGATTGGAAAATTTTTCAACGACAAACGCAAAAAATTGTGAAAGCCACCATATTTTTACAGATTTTGATTGCCGAAGTGCAAACAGGATGGTTTGGGATTTTTTCCGTTCTGCTTTTACCTTCCGTCAATATGAATGATGCTTGTATTTCACTTATCGATAAACTAGTGAATATTGGATTTTCACGAAGTTTTGCAAGTGTATGTATAAACGGAGTGTATATGTTTAATTACTATCTAAGCGGAATTATTTTTTCGGCCTTCTTTTTTTTCTTGATTAACTATCTTCTTTTTTTTGTGTCACGAAAACTCGGTATAATTTTGAATTATGAAAAGCGTGATAATATAAGGAAAAAATTTTACTAAATACAGGATCTAATAACTTTATAGAAAATATATTTAGCAATCGAATTTTCTTGCATTACTGGTTGCAGGAGTAAATTGTTATAGTGCAATTCTTTTGAAATTGATTTTAGATTTTTTCTAGACGTTAGTCGAGAATATGGACTTGTCGACAGCTAATTGGCGGCAGTTAGTACAGAGATTTTCAAGTTTAGAAAATTTTGATGAAACTGTTGCTACATATATTGCTGATCGTCAAAGTCATTGGATGTCGAAGTTCGGAAAGCACTCATTTCTTCGTGACTTTTCAAATAGTTATGTCTTGTTTTGCATCTCACCAGTAAGTCTAATTTTTTTTAAAGATGTATTTTAAAGATACTTTGAAGCTTTTTCAATTCCTTCAAGTTTTTCTGTTTTCGTCCATCTAAATATAGATTTTCTGAAAAAAAATTAGATGATTTGGTCTTATTGAGTCAAATGGAAATCATTATTACCATAGTGTTTTACGAAGTTGCTAGTTGACTGTACCATCGTAACTGATTTGTTTCAGGAATTAGCTTCATTTCCTTTCGAACTTTTGCCGGTGATGGAGTCGCACAAACGTGTTTGTAGGATATCATCATTCCACATGTTCGAGGAACTTTTATGTCTTTCGAAAAAGGTTTTTCCTTCTTTTTTATTGTTTTTCATTTGTTAAAGCTTCGTGAAAAATTTTTTGTTCATGTATTGTAATTTTAGATACCAAAAACAGTTGATGGAAAGAATTCTTTTTATGTGCTCGATCCTGGAGGTGATTTAACCGATACACAGAAAAGACTCTCAAAAGAACTGGAAAAATATACTTGTTGGAAAGGAACAATTGGAGCTGCACCAAAGCCGGAAGAATTGCGCAACTCGTTAGAAACCAGTGATCTATTTTTGTAAGTTTAACTAATTTTCATTTGTTTTAAGGTTTTAAAATATTTCAGAAAGAAATCCATCAATTTCAAAAAATCCCAGATTTCTGAATTTTTAATAATTTCTTATAAAACTAATTTGTACTTAGCATGCTTATTTAATAGTGCTATCATCATCTAATGATTTATAGTTAGATTGCTGAAGTTTATTCATGCTAGCTATACTATCAAAATTTTTTAAAGTACTTAAAAATTTTTCATTCGTTCTTAGTTGTGCTACTGTTTTCAGCTACACTACAAATTTGTATAGCAGCATTTCAATTTTTATCATTGTTAAATTTTTTTAAAGTTATATGGGCCATGGAAGTGGCGGTAAATATTTTGGAAGATCAACAGTATTACGGAGCAACATTCGCGCCGTATCACTTCTTATGGGCTGTTCCAGGTTTTATTTTCTTTGCATCATTTCATGAAATTAAAATTTCAATCATACAAAAGTGAAGAAGGCCATATTTATTTTTGATGTTTTGGAATTTGAAATCGAATTAAATTTTTAGTGTTCGCATAACTTATGAGGGCGAAGGATTCGACGGCAGGGGTGCAATTTACGATTATATTATAGCAAAGTGTCCTTGTGTTGTTGGTTGTCTTTGGATGGTGAGTTCATGTTTAGAAGAAGCAGAATAGATTTCAAATCGTATAATTTGTAAAGAGTTTATTTTGCACGTAAATTAGTGTTCGAGAATGCACATATTGTTTGATCACCTGGTGCTGGTCAATATATAATCATTTTTTGACGAATGTTTAAAGTAATTCGAAAATTTTAATTTCTATCTGCCTAAGGTCACTGATGGTGAAATTGATCGAGTGCTCTTGGCTCTTCTAGATTTCTGTTTCTCTGAAATTCAAAAGTCAAACGCTGACAAAATCAGGCCAAAGTAAATTTTTAAACAGGATTTTATTTCTAGAGCACAAAAAAATGCTTCCTTATTGAACTAACAAAAATTTTTAGCAGAAATAATCAAAATTATATTTTATCACTTCATAAATTTATTCTATAATATTTATGTGCGCGTTTTTCAAATTATATCTTAATTGAAAAAATCACTGGAATGCGTTGAATCTGTTCCATCTATCATCTATCAGTAATCATTTTAAAATTTTTTTGAAAAAACTGCAAATAAAGTTTTTAATTAAAACATATTTCAGCTCGTCATATAGACTACTGATAGATGGAATTGCATACGCCCGTACAGCATGCAAGCTAAAATACTTGACTGGTGGTGCTGTTGTTGCATATGGATTACCCATTGTAACTCATCTATCGCAAGATATGATAGCGATGAAGCAACAGTTCGAAACAACGCAGCTTTTGGATGAGGATACTGCTTCAGTATCGAGGGAATTATTAGCTTCTGGAAAATCGTCTTGTTGAAGCTGTAATCAGTAATAAAATCTCTGTTATATGAGAAAAGTTCTTGCTGAGGTTGTTAAAAAATTATTTGAGTTTCAAAATAATCATTTTACAAGTCGAACTTCCCTGACAAAATTTTTTTAAAAAATTCTGTTTTCTCGGTTGAATTTTAATTTCGCCTTATTCATAAGAATTTTGCAGATCATATCTTTCCTGTGTAGCAATTGCACATAAAATACGCTGTTTTCCCACTCAGTTACAGTTTTTGCTCATATTGTGATGCTGATGATGAGTTCTTCTCGAGGGTGTACAGATTTTTTTCGATGTGTCAAAAATTTGAAGAAGTACTTGAAATTTTTTTCATCTAGAAATAAGTATAGCAGGAATGTGCTACCTTTTGGTTCTCTGTCACAATGTAGGCGTTGCTACTTATAAATGTCAATTCAAAACAACTAGTGTTTTCACTTATCATTTTTCGAAAAATTGATGTTTATTAAACTATATACTTGAAAATTAAAAAAATTTTCAAAAATATTTGACAGTGTAAGAAGTGCAAATTGTTCTCCGCGTTTCTCAGTACTTTTTGCATCCTGTGATTGAATCACTTATTGTTTCTTTTTTCTTTGTACTTGTTCTTTCTTTCATTTTTATTCAACTCATTCTTTTAAAACTTATTTTCATGTATATACTCGTTCCATGTATTTCTGTGAAAAGCAATTCTATAAAACTGTTTTTGAAATAGCTAAATTTCAAGGTTTTCTCATTGTGTGTGGTACTTTTAGGAATGAATTATCATACTTTTGATGTTGGTTATATGAGATAATGAATTGGATGTTTTGGTGCCATCTGTTGGAATATTAGCAGTCATAAATTGGAATCCAGTTAATATGAGAATTACAGATTTTTATGCTTAAATTGAACGATGTTTATCATTTACGAAATAGATATGGATATTGGAAAACATTATTATGCTTCTATGAAGATAAAATATAAGATGATATAGTATCATCAATTTGAATAGATTGATCGCTGCTTATAGGAAAATCGATGAAATGATGGAGTAAATCTTTCATATTCGAATATCTCTTAAATAAAGAAGTGTCGTTCATTTTTCTTCACTTTTTGATTGTAATAAAACTGAAACTGACTATAAAACTTAAATTAGCTTTTTAATCGTATTTCAATTTGCTATGATTCATTGTTTTTTATGGAATAATTGTAGATGATAGTCGTTATTATTGTCCGAATCATCCAGCCACTAAACGGTATTATTTACCATTTCAGGAAAGTGAAAAGAAACGAGCAATTCTGGCGCCATTGCTAGCATTGTTTGTCTCTTCAAATAGATATGATTGTTAGTGAGCTTTTTTTTTGTGCCTATGTGTGTAACATGTCGTCGTGTCATCGATTGCTAAAAATTGATGAAATTTTCAAGGATGAATCAAAATTTAGAACCAAAAAAAAAAAAACTTTCGCAACCGATAATTATTGATTTGAAGGTTACTAAGCAGCGGTTTTTCGATGCATGATTGATCACTGTTTGTCGATTAGATCTAAAATTGTTTGACAACATTTTGCAGATTTGAAATCCCCTCTCAAATTTACCTAATTTAAGATTTTTGATGTTTTTCTTTTTTTGCAAATATACTGCAAGAAACAGAGTTGAACATATACAACATGAGAAATTATCTGATTTTTTTTTGTTTAAAATTTTGTAACAATAAAATTACTTCACTAATTTTAGAGATTGAATAGACTCTTGTGAAGCAAAAATTTAAGCTACATCAGGCAGCATAAAAGATGATTCAGCGATGAAAAACGAAAATCATAAAAGGGATTATAATTCTTTCATGATAGAATATGAACTTTTTTCTCGTTATATGCACTAAATTATACATTTCTTTTTCAAATATTTCGATGACTGAAAAGGAAATTAATTGTCTCAATGAAAAGAGCTATTGAATACTGCAGCTTTAGCAAATGGAAAAAAGAAATTCAGAAAATTCCGAAATTTTTCCATAGGTCAATGAACTGTTCTGCAGTAATTTAAATTTGAATTTCCCAGACATCTTTAATCAATTCATTGAAAATTTTGGTTGCGTAAAATTCCTATAAACATGAATAATTTTCATATTTTATCGTGTAACTTTTAATTTTTAAACGGTGCACTGATACATTAATATAAAATGTTAATCATATTTCTTTATGTGGAATTGTTATCAGTAACTGTTACATTTGGAATGTATTTGTATCCGGAATGATATATAAGGTATTCAGTACAGTTTAAATTCATTGACCCATATATTAGGTACAGTACAGTAGTGACTGTATCATTTGTACTGAGTATATAAGTCAACGTGTCCTAAATCATTCCTTCCCTTTTTTTTCTCTCTCTCTCTCTCTCTCTGTCTCTTTTAAATGAATGAAGATATTTAGTTTGTTGAATTTTTTTTTTGCTTTTCATAATTAAAATGGGAGAAAAAAAATGGAAAAAAGAAAGGAACGCATGAGGGATTTATTTTTTGCTCGTTCATTCTTTTCAAGCAATCTTCGATCGACCAAAAATCGACAACTAATCGAGAAGATTTTTCTGTGTGACATGAAAGAAATGAAATAGACATAACTATTAGTCACTACCACCACCACCACCACCACCACCACCACCATCATCATCATCATCATCATCATCACTATTACTGCTGATTATTAGCCTTCAATTGTAAGCTTGCTTATGCCAGTACAGTTACAACTATCATTGCAATTATTTGCAAATGCTATTTTTGGAAACTTTAAAAAAAGACTTTTGCAAGCAAATTTTAATGCTATCAATTAAAAGTGAGGAATGCTGGAGAAAGAACGAATCGTTACTAATTATCGTTGTTAGGTCAAAGTTAGAAGAGCGAAAAGAGAGAAGAAAAGTTTAGGAGAAGCTAAGAGAAGAGAATTCTCGATTGATAGTATTTATTGCGGAAGATGATTGATAGATATATGCAGAAATAATAGGAAGGGGAAAAATGGATAGAAAGAGATGTACATTATTAGAAAGATTGAAAAGAGGAAGAGAGAGTATTAGGAGAGAGGTTTAGCGATCGAAGCGATAAGTGTAGCTGCGACTGCCTTGTACAGGGTGGTACCGATGCGCGGATCTGCAACGATTCTTGCGTGGAGCGTTTCCTTCGTGGTAGTGCTGATTGTCATCGACCCATTCGTCCATCCATCCATCCATCTATCCATTCATTCATTCATTCATTCATTCATTCATTCGTCTATCAAAAAGTATAACTCTCTCCCTCCCTCTCTCTCTCTCTCTCTCTCCCCTTCTCTTTTCCTTCGTATCATTTAGGAGAAAACCTATAAGTGTTCCATCAATGAATCTTATCCTTTTCCCAAAGTCGCTTATTTTAACAAAGATATACCACATGAGATTCTTTGCTCTCTTCCTCCATCTCTCCTTCTCTCTCTCTCTCTCTCTCTCTCTTTGCTTCTCTCTCTTTCCATTTTCATCTTATATTAAAGTACATCATCCTACCCTTTTTAATTCTCTTTTATGTTGTTACCATTGCTTGTAGAAGCAGACGTTTGTTTGATAAAAGATTTTTTTTTGTAGCTTTAAACTTTCTTTTTCTTTTTTTTTGTAAATATAATAACATAAAGAGACAGGGAGAGAAAGAGAGAGGGAGAGAGAAGGAGGAGAGATTGATGATGGATAAAAAATAAAATGCAGGTCATTAAGGTCAATCTATGCTAACTGACATAAAGTATGAAATTAGAATGAGGAAGGTCATGTCATACTAAATTGTTACACTTCAGGTCAGGAGGAAATGTTAACACGTTGTGTGAAACGTATGATTTGTAGATTGAAAGTTAATGTGACAGTTAATCAGATCTGATGAATTTAATGAAATATTCCTTCAGAGAGATTTCAGATTGTTATTGCGGAAGATGGGATCAATCATTGGATAGCTAATTCGTAAGATGTTTGGATTGTGTTAGAACTTACACATATCATTTGAATTAGCGAAATACTTCTATAACATAACTAATTTTGTCATTGGATGAGATTTATCATACAGATTAGCATTTTATCATTTAGCATTTCTACTTAAACCTGCTATTCTGTCGATTGCATATTCCATATTTCTTTTTTTATTTTTGAACTAAAATGGGTATTTGTTGTTAACTCATCGGAGTATTGCATTTTATTCTTTAGATTTAATTTAATTGAATTAAAAAATAATGATGCATATACTTTTTTGAGGAACCAATATAATTTAAGATGTTTTTTTTTTCTAATCCTAAAATATTGGTCCTCTCTTCTGTCTCCGTCTCTCTCTCTCTCTCTCTCTCTCTCCTATGTGCTACTTCATCAATCCTACAATAATGTTACATTTGTTGATGAAATTTCGTACAATGGTGATAATAATTGTGGGATGATTAATGTAGACAGGTAAATACATATAGGCTTGAAATTGTGCTAATCGGCTTGCTAACACATATCATTTGTTAACCGTTCGTCGTTACATTCTGTCTTGTCGTGACAGCTGTCATCATTTGCACTTATCAGTTACTACTGATAACATGATAGTATAAGAAAGAAAGGAAAGTTGGAGATTCATCGTTTCAGAATTATCATCGCTTTTTGTATTATTTTCATTAAGTTATGGATTGACTCTGATATCTTGAATTTCTTGGTAGGAAAAGAAGAGTTTAAAAAAGAAAATTTAAAAGATAAAAGCAGAGACTTGAATCAGTGGAAAGGATATCTCGAAAGATAAAGACATCAATTAATCGGCTGGAACAACAATACTTGGATAGATTTTTTCAGAATGTTATTACGGTCGAAAAAACGCTTTGTCAATTTTCTTTCTAATTTCTCAAGACTAAAGATTCTTGCAAATGTGTTGTTGAATTCGTAACAATTTTGATCTTTGTTCAAGCTTAACTTCCTGAATTGAATTTCTTGAATAATATAAGTTAGAATTTTTGAGATGAAAATTGGGAAAATAGTTTACGTTTAGTCG